GGTTGGAGCCGTCCTGCAGGGCCGGGTGCCCCTGTGGGGGCACTGCCCCTCCCCTCCCCGGGAACCACATGAGGCCAGGAGGGACCGCACACTCTCACCGTGGGTTTTCGCTCCCCCCGCCCCCTGCCCCGGGATGTCCGTGAAGATGCTGGGCCTGGACGCTGATCTCTAAGGGACCAGAATCCCCCAGACTGCTCTGCTCAGCTCCCACCTCGCCCCCTCCCCAGCAGGCCTCCCTCCCTCCCACAGGCCTCCCCCTCCCCACAGGCCCTCCAACCCCCCTCCGCAGGCCTCCCCCCCAAGCCTCCCTCCTGCTCCCTCTCCGCCCACCTTCTCCCAGGAGCAGTGACTCACCGCCCCTGCCAGGACGTGGGAGCAGCTGCACACAAGGCAAGTTCAGAGGGGAGCTGAGGACGAGGACCACCTTGTCCCTCCCCCACTTCCCACCTTGTCCCTTCCTCCCCCCTTCCCACCTTGTCCCTTCCTTTCCTCCCTCCCTTCCCACCTTATCCCTTCCTCCCCCCCTTCCCACCATGTCTTTTCCTTCCCCCCTCTACTTCCCACCTTCTTCCCCTCCCCCCCCCCCCCCCCCCCCCCGCTTCCCACCTGTCCCTTCCTCTACCCGCTTCCGGCTGGCCATCGTCACCTGCTGCAAGACTCAGGCCAAGAGTGCACTGGACAGGGAGGCCGAGGGGTGAGGCCGCTCCTTCCACAGTGGGCCCAAGCGGCCAGAGCACCCAAAGGCCTGGCTATGGACCAGCCATGGCCAGCCTGGCCACGCCCAGCCATGGCCCGGTCACACCCGGCCACCCTGCACTCCCACTGGGCCTGGCAGCACTGTCCCACCCACCATGGACTCACCCCCCCCCCCACGGACTCACACTCAGATCCCACCCACCAGGACTTACACTCACACACACATACACACACACACACACCGCCCACCACGGACTCACATCCCAGTCCACCAGGGACTCACACTCACCCCCCTCCTGCCCACCATGGACTCACACCCCTGTCTACCAGAGACTCACACTCACCCCCCTGCCCACCAGGAACTCACACCATCACTACCACCCACCAGGGACTCACACTCAGCCCCGCCTGTGTGCACAGCAGGTGCTGGGGAGATGGGCCGTGTCTGACTCCCGCCCTCTCTGCCAGCCTCTCATCTGAGGGTCACCAGTCCAGCCGCCTCCACTCAGCCATGCCCCACAGTTCACTTTGCCACGGGGGCTACTGGGCACCCTCCCCAAAGCAAGACACGAGGCCGAGGCGGGGGCGGGAGGGGGAGAACATACCAAGCAGGCCCAGCGCAGCCCGAGGGACGCAGGCAGGGACTGACGGTGGTGCCCACCCGATGGAGGGGAAGCAGGGGGAGGCGCTGCGTGGGGGAGGCGCTGGGGGGGGAGGTGTGGCCATTCTGGGGGAGCCCGCGGATGGGGTCACAGGGATAGAACGGGGGCTCCTACCTCAGGTCCATCCCCAAAGCTGTTGGGAGCCATGTGTCCCCGGCCACCCCAGGTGGGATACAGGTGAGCACATGGGCTTTTAATAACATGCAAGCACCTGGCGCACGGCCCTGGGAGTGAGGCTGGCAGGAAGGCGGGCGCCAGCTCGGAGGGGGCCATGGCGCTCTCCGGGGACAGTCGGTATGCCCTTATGGTGCTGTCCTCTGAGCAGCAGCACCCTGTGGTGCTAACACCCGGTAGATGAGTGTGTGTGTGTGTGTGTGTGTGTGTGTGTGTGTGTGCATGCTCACATGTGTGCGCGCTCGCTCGGACTCCAGTCCTGGGCCTTGAACTCAGGGCCTGGGTGCTGACCCTGAGCTTTTCTGCTCAAGACTGGTGCTCTACCACTTGAGCCACAGCACCACTTCCAGTTTTTTGCTGGCTCATGGGAGATGCGAGTCTCATGGACCTTCCTGTTAAACTCTCCAGGACTTGCCACGTGCCAAACAGTAAAGCACGCCATCCTTGCCCGGCTCTGCCCGGCCTCCCGGTCTGCCCTGCCCTCTGGCCCTGCCCTGCCCCTTCCTGCTAGCACCCACAGTTACGTACAGAGTACTTCTGGGCACACCAGCCTTGCTCCGGCACAAACTGCCTCCCATAACCGTGAACGGAGGCTGCATCGGCTCTCAGGATGCTGTCTCGCCCCTGGGGCCTCTCCTCCAGGCTCCTCAGCCCAGAGTGACTCAGCAGCACTTCCTGCCAGTGCTTCTGGATCCTTCTAGGTCTCCGGTGACGCCTTTGCTAAAGAGGAGAAAAGCCACCAGGCGCTTCATGACTGAGATGCAAGTGTTTTCAAAGAGAGCAGCAGTGGGCTCTCTGGCTCAGCCTGGGCGGACGGACACTGCTGTTGTGCAGATGGTGGCCCGAGAAGACTCCTGGCAAGAAGCCACAAGTAAAGGTGTGGCTTGAGTGGTAGAGGGCCAACCTTGAGTGAAACAGAAACAAATAAAAGCAAGTAAAAAGCAGGGTCCTGGATTTCCAGCTCCAATACTGGCTCAAAAGGACAACCCAGTCCTCCCTGTCCGTCTTGTGCATGCTAGAGCAATACGCACTCTCGCCACTAAGCTGTGCGAAGTGCAAGATGCGGGTGAGGAAAGACTCCATCCAGTGACTTGTGTGAGCTGTGCAGCCTGAGGCACTGCAGGCGGGGGACAGGTGCTGGGGGGGACACTGAGTCAGGGGCAGGCAGGGGACGGGTGCTGGGGGGGACACTGAGTCAGGGGCAGGCGGGGGACGGGTGCTTGGGGGGGGGCAGGCGGGCAGACAGACCCTGAGGTACAGTCAGGTGCAGAATCATCTGGGCCTGGAGAGGCAAAAGTCAACAAATGCACATCAGCCATGCAGAGCAGGGCAGGCAGAGGGGAGGAAAGCAGGCTCAGCTCCTACCAGTCTCGTGCAAGCTGAGCTGCTGTCCTTGTTCAGAAAGCAAACTGCTAAGCACTTGATGCTTCTAAACTTCTCAAGGTGGTCGCTTCTTCCAGGGTTTGGTGGGGCTTGGGACACCTACTTCAGAGGTTTGTGCTAAGGATCCCTGAGAAAAAAACATCAGCAAAGACCTCGGCAGAGGAAAGCAGGCTGCTATTGAAGGATCCCTGGGAGTTTTCTAAAGTAAATAAAGAGAGGTCTGGTCTGGGGCTCACATGTGCAATCCTGGCTAGCTGGAAGGCTTGGGGGTGGGGAGGGGAATGGTGGTTTGTATGGGCAGCAAAGCTTATGAGATCTTAGTTGATGACTGGTTTGGTGGCTGTCTACTAGCAACCTGGGACCAGCCTTATCAGGAAGGTCCATGAGACCCCATTTCAGTGAGGAAACCAGGCCTAATGATGTGTGTTTTGCAATGATGAGAAGCAAAAGTAGGACGACTCGGGGCCAGGTGTGCACCTGGGCAGGAAGTGTGAAACGATGCAAAACAAGTGTGACTCGGTGGATGTTTCTACAGGTCCTGAAGGAGCACTCAGCACCACCAGGAGCTGAGTAAACATAGGGGACAAAGCCCTGATTCTTGATTCTCGCCCCCAGAGCTGCCAGGGGCTCCTGCCCCGAGACTCTGCACGGACAAAGCCCCACATGATGTGGATTGCTGGCACTGCAGGGGCCAGGTTCCTGGGTATTGGAAGGGGGGCTGGTTGTGGAAAGTTCCACCACCCTGGTGGAAGTTCCACGGCTGGGGGCCTTCTGGCACTGAGCCACCTTCCCAGCCCTTGGCTGGGGGCCTTCTGGCACCAGTTCTGGGCTTTGATTGGAGGCCAGGGGTGGTAGGTAGACCAGAAGCATGGGGCAGGAAAGGGAGGGAGCTGACGCCTCCTAGAGGAGAATATGCTCAGGCTAATTCTCGGGTGGGCCAATATTCCAGAAGTTTCCAGTTGGAGGTGGGCTGCCCTGGGAGCCTTGGTGTCTTCCTCAACTCCTCTTTCTCAGAAGTCAGGGAAAACCCAACAGCTACGACTTTCTCCAAGGTCATTTCATATCTCCCTTCTCAGCTGGAAATTTGTCTGCTTGATGTTTTTGACCAACTTCATTTCCTTTTCCTTTTTAATATTCATTTCTCTTTTTAATACTGTGCTGGACCCCATACAATGTAAGTTGCCTAGAGGAAGGGATTTCTCTCCTCTATGCCCCGTATCTAGATCGTGTACTTAGTACATAACAGTACGACTGAGTCAGTGAATTAATACAGGGCACACATAGAAGACTAAAACTTGTTATTTTGAACCAGGGACTTCTGAGGAGTGGAGTTGTACATGACATCTGAAATCAGAGCCTTCCCAAGCCCTGACCCCCTCATCCAGCCTAGCTCTGGGAACCCTAAGGCAGGAAGCACCTCTGTATGGTGGAGTTCCGAGACACCTGCCCCCGCCTCAAGTCGTGGGCGCAGGAGGAAGAGCAGCCTGGCAGGATGCTCTCTGGTACAACAGATGGACACGTTTGCCATCTTCCAAAGAAGGTGGTAGAATTTTGTAGGAAAAGGCGACCTCGTGGCCTGGCCGTGCTGACTCTGCCCCTCGCTGTTTGTTTTTGAAGGTTGATCGAATTAGGGGAAAGGGACAAAACCGATCCAAGGCGGGGCTCAGGCACTGGGTGGGGACGGCTCATTGGTTGGCATTCTCTCCACCCAGAGACGGTGGAGCCCAGAGAGGCCAGGAGGCTGCCACAGTGGAGGCCTGGGTGCCGGCTGAGTGGAGGGGCAGAGTGGAGGGGAGCCGCAGCCTGTGGGCTGAGCACTTGTGCTGCCCAGGACAAGCTGACCACACACCTGGAGGGGGGGGGGGGGCGGAGAGAGCCCGGATGGGGCCAGTCAGACCAGAGCAGACCGCAGGCGACCCAGGCCTGATCGAAACATGAGAAGGGACGTCGCAAGGGGACCTTCTACCCCCGAGACCTGGGATTCCTCACGGATCCCAGGGCCCATGTCCTTAAACTGGTGGCGAGGCTTCCCCACGGCCCTGGAGGGGCGAGGCCCTCACTGCCCTCCTGTCTGCTTCCCTGCAGGAAAGCGTGGACTTGGGAGAGATCATGTTCTCCCTCTGCTACCTGCCCACGGCCGGCAGGCTCACCCTCACCGTGATCAAATGCCGCAACCTGAAGGCCATGGACATCACAGGCTACTCAGGTACTCCCCTTCCCTGTGCCCCCAGACTCCCCCTCCCCCTATGGCCCCCACCAGCCTCTCCCCTCCCCTATTCCCCCCAGCCTCTCCCCTCCCCCATTCCCCCCCAGCCTCTCTCCTCCCCTGTGCTTCCCCAGCCTCTCTCCTCCTCTGTGTCCCCCACCAGCCTCTCCCCTCCCCCTCATGGCCTCCACCAGCCTCCCCCCACCAGCCTCTCCCCTCCCCCTCATGGCCTCCACCAGCCTCCCCCCACCAGCCTCTCCCCTCCCCTGTGGCCACCGTGCTGCCTCCTGGAGTCCAGACAGCAGGCTGTGGGAGTGTGCAGGATGAAGGGCGGTAAACGCCAGTGTTTTGAAGCAGAACACAGCCCCAGCTCCCTGGGCTGGGTCTCCGCAGCCACGGCAGTGGACCCGCGGTGACTGGCGCGCAGGGAAGGCTGACTTCAGCCCACTGCGCCAGTGTGCTCAGCCTGGGCCACGGGCACATGGCAGAGGAGACCCGACCTCAGAGCAGGAAGCCAAGAGGAGGGGGGTGGGGCTGAGGTCCTGTAGCAACCAGACCCCGCCCATGGCCTGGCTTCCTTCCATTAGTCCACACATCCAGAAGGTTCTACCACCGGGCCAGTAGCACCAGGGCTAGGCTCAGACCTTCAGGCGTGGCCTTTGAAACATCCGCCATCCAGGCCACAGGTGTTTCTTGGTCTGGGAGATGGGAACGCTACTGCCTGCATTGATTGTACTCAGAATAAGTGAGCAAATCCAGGGAGATGCTAAGCGGTGTCCCAGGACATCATAAGCACTGGGTGGATCACTGGTAGAGGGGAGAGGAGGGAGGGAGGGAAGAGGGTGACGGAGGGGCAGAGGGGAGGAGGCTCAGCTCACAGTTTTCGTGCAGAGGAGGGAAAGGAGCAGGAGACACACTCAGGACAGTCTTCTCCATTTCTGCACTGGCCCGGACCTCCAAAAGGGTCACATGGAGTGGCTCCAATAAATGTCTGCCCTCCGCCCAGGCTTGGGCTGCAAACACGCTAAAAAGGAGGCAGGGGTGGAGAGCAGCTGCAGAAGCCTGTGTGCTGGGCATGGTGTCAGGGCGTACCTGCATACGCACGTGTGCGCACACGTACACATATACACACATGCACACATAGACACAGGTGTGTGCACATGCTTTCTTTATGGTAAGGAGGGCCCTCCGGGAGCTGGCGGGTGTCAGGGCAGGAGCTTGAAGCTTGTGAGCTGAAAGCTCGCTGGGGAGGGCGGAGGCTGCAGGTAGACTGCCTGTGAGGATGCGCAGCCTGGGAAAGGCCCCATTTGTCTCCTCCAGGAAGCCCTCCTCTGATGTCCATGTCCTGGGTCACACCACCCCGGAGGCGCCCCTCAACTCCTATGGAATCTGCCCCACACCCCCTTGCCTTTACTGTGTGTTTCCTGGAAAGCTCTTAAGTATGAGCACAGATGCCACAAAGCGGTCATGGTGGGCCAGGCTCAGGGACTATGCCTGTCATCCTAGCTTCAGGAGGCTGAAATCTGAGGATCAGGGTTTGAAGCCAGCTGAGAAGGGAATTCTGTGAGACTCTAGTTAACCACCAAAAAGCCAAAAATGGATCTATGGCTAAAGTGATAGAGCCACGGGATTCAGCAGTAAAGCTCAAAGACAGGTAACCAGGCTCTAAGTTCAAGCCCTAGTACTGGCAGACACACACACACACACACACACACACACACACACACACACACACACACACACACACACACAGACAAAATCCCCCGAAAATCCCGAAGGGTGTCTCACAAAGCAGCAGAGTGCAAGAGCAGGCTGGTTAAAATTCCTTGCTGCCTCCCCCAGTTTCTTTGAAAACCTAAGCTCTCTCATGGTCTGGGAAGGTGGCTCAGTAGTAGAGTGCTTGCCTTGCATGCATGAAGCCCTGGGTTCGATTCTTCAGCACCATATAAGCAGAAAAAGCAGGAAGTGGCGCTATGGCTCAAGTGGTAGAGGGCTAACCTGAGCTGAAGAGCTGAGGGACAGTGCTCAGGCCCACAGTTCAGGCCCACAGTTCAGGCCCACAACCGACAAAAAAAAAAAAGAAAGAAAGAAAACCTAAGCTCTCCAAGGCTGAGCATGGAGCTCATCCAGTTACCTGTGGACACACCTTCATCTAGTCGCCTAACCGTTAACCCTAAGCCCTAACCCTAACTCTAACCCCTAATTCTTACCCTAACCCCAACCCCAACCCTCATTCGGTTGCCTGTAGGAAAGCCTTCAACGCTTGGCCTTCTGGGTAGGGCTGAGGTTTCTCTTCTTCATACTGAACTGCATGTCAGGGGCCATGAGTCCGGGAGGCTTTTGCACAGGAGGCAGGGCTGCACCCTCGGGATTGCAGGGTGGGAGGGCATTGGACTTAGCCCACACCTGCCCATGCACACAGCCTGGACAAGGTGCCAGCCCCTCTGTGTCTGAAAGCTGTTATTACCTGTGGGTCATCTTCACCCTTCTTGAGCTGGAAGCGTAAATACTAATTATGATGGTGACCAAAACACCTGTGCCATGCGATACACTAGGTGTCCCTTCATCTGGATGAGTAGAAAATTTCAGGGTAGGAAGAGGACATGAAATCCCTATTCAGAAAAACAGAATGGAGAGCCACCCTTGGGAGGCACACAGACATTTCAGTAACAAGACAGTTGCTAGCAGCGTGGAGACAGTCCAAGACACCATGGAGAAAGCCTACCAGCCTGGCCCTCCCCCAGGGAGGACTCCCTCACCCTCCCGGCCACAGCTCCTTCCACTCCACAGCTCAGAAGTGGCCAGGACCTGACTTCCAGGGGAGCAGAAAGCAGGCTGCATCCCCTTCCTGCTGACAAATGCAAATGAGAGTATTGAGATATGGGGACCCGGTGTAAACAGCGTGCGGCAGCAGCTGTTCATGTCGCTCTGACTCCAGGGTGTGCCTTCAGCATCATGGAGGCCTTTTTGTTACCCCCTTGATCCTTTGCTCAGCAATGCTGGTGAAAACCTCCAGGAAAAACTGTCTCCAAACACATGAGAGAAATATGGGGTCACCTGTCACCCTGGCTACCTGGGAGGCTAAGAGCTGAGGCTCACAGCCTGAATCCAAGCCCACAGAGCAAAATACATGAAATTCTTCAGTTTATCAGCAAAAAGCCAGAAGTGGAGGTGTGGCTCAAGTGGTAGAGCACCCACCTTGAGTTGAGAGACAGTGCAAGGGACAGGCAAGAACAAAAGGAGGAGAGGAAGAGGAAGAAGGGAAGGAATGAAGGAAGGAATAAAGGAAAGAAGGAAGGGAGGGAGGGAAGAGAAGAAAAGCCAGGCGCTGTGGGACAGAGGTGCAGGTCTGGGGCATGGGCAGCGCGTGTCTGGTCAGGCTGCATCTCTATTAGTACCTCACAAGAGTAAAGATGCCAGTGCCTCCTCAGAGACAGGTGTGCACACAGGTAACTTCAAGTGGCTTTGTTTTTCTCTCTCTCTCTCACACACACACACACACACACAGAGTCAGCCCTCTGTGGCAAACAATGCTCAGGACACACCCTCTCTCCTTCACTCCGTTCCTGTCTGCACAGACCCCTATGTCAAGGTGTCCCTGCTGTGTGACGGCCGGAGGTTGAAGAAGAAGAAAACCACCATAAAGAAGAACACGCTCAACCCCGTCTACAATGAGGCAGTCATCTTTGACATTCCTCCGGAGAACATGGATCAAGTGAGCCTGCTCATCTCGGTCATGGACTACGACAGGTACGTGCAGCCCAGCCCCAGGGACACGGCTCCTGCCTCCACCCTGGGGCAGCACAGGCTTCTTGGCCTAGGACCCGGAGTTTGGGGTGCAGGTTCTGCCACCCGAAGGGACAGGGACTTGAGGGGACCACGCGGGCCTCGGCTTCCCTCCCGGTGGCCTGTTTCCACCCATCTCTTCCCGTTGTCCCAGGTGGCGCCGTGACCACCGGCCGTCCTTTAACACGCCTCTCTGGCAAGCCCCACACCTGTGGCTCACACCTGTCATCCCAGCTACTCAGGAGGCTGAGATCTGAGGAGGACCATTCAGAGCTGACCTGGACAGGAAAGTCTGTGAGATGCTTATCTAATTAACCAACAAAAAGCTGGGCATGGCTGGAGTTCAAGTAGTTTGGGTTTAGCCCGGAGCATAGCAGCCAAGCAAGGGAATGTAGAAGCCAAGCAAGGACTTAGAACACCACCACCGACAAGATCGGTCCCTACCACCTCGGCCCCAAATAGCCTCAGGCGAATTCTGCCCCGACTCTGCCAATTGACTAAAAACACATCTTCCTGAACACATTCCTCAGCTCTACATCTCTGAAGATGGGTCATGGCTGTGTCCTTCCCCTGGGCTCCCACGACTTTCCGCCACCAGACCCACCACGCCTCCCAGCCCCGGTCCTCTTCAAGGGTGTTTTTTTCTCATTTTTGATTCTGCTTCCCATCAAGGCTGCCTCAAAAGCACTGCCCAGCCACTGCCCCTCATGATTCCCTCTCTCCAACTGTCCCTTAATAGAAGGATACTGAGATCTGCGCTAATTCCCTGTCCTGGATTTTTTTTTTTCTTTACTGCGGGGATAGTTCTAGGATTTGAACTCTAGGTCTTGCTCTCTTGCCTGGCTTTTTCTGCTCCACGCTGCTGCCACTCTACCACTTGAGCTACAGCTCCACTTCTGGCTTTTTTTTTTTTCTTTTTTGCCAGTCCTGGGGCTTGAACTCTGGGCCTGGGCGCTGACCCTGAGCTTCTTTTGCTCAAGGCTAATGCGCTTGAGCCACAGCGCCATGTCCAGCCTTTGAAAGTCGTTTATTGGATATCTTTTTTTTTTGGTCAGTTGTGGGGCCTGAACTCTAGGTTTGGACACTGTCCCTCAGCTCTTTAGCTCAAGGCAAGCATTCTACCACTTGAGCCACAGCGCCATTTCCGACTTTTTCTGCTTATATGGTGCTGAGGAATTGAACCCAGGGCCTCATGCATTCGAGGCAAGCACTCTACCACTGAGCCACCTTCCCAGCCCGAAAGTCTTTTATTGGAGATAAGAGCCTTTTGGACTTTCCTGCCCGGGCTGGCTTCGAACCACAATGGAGCTAGGATTACAGGCGTGAGCCACCAGCACCTGGCCACTTCTGGAGTTTCACTGGTTAATTGGACACAACAGTGTCTCAAATCATCTGCGTGGGCTGCTTTCGAACCTGTATCCTCAGATCTCAGCCTCCCAGCTAGCTAGGATTACAGGTGTGGCACTGGTGCCCAGCTTCAGTCCTGGATTTTGAACACAAGTTCTCAGGCCCCTTGACTAATGTTACTTGAATGGTAATGGATGCTCTTGCTGAGTGAATAAATCACGGCTCGGGGAGGAGAAATGGCTCTCGGCATTATCTCTCGTTAACAGATTCTCTCGCAGTCCTGCTGTCTCTGGCTATGAAGGGCTGGTCAGGTCACAAGGTGAGAGGCCATCGGTCCCTGGGGTTCCAGGCAAGCCCGTGGCCCTCGCTTATCTCCCTGTGTCTGATGGAGGTCGAGCAGCCTCACAGGCTCCAACCTCCCAGGCCAGCCCAGTGTTGGCCTATAGCGCTCACCCTTCTGCCCGAGAGCTGCCTGGTGGCCAACGGCGGGGTCTGTCTTCCGCAGAGTGGGCCACAACGAGATCATCGGGGTGTGCAGCGTGGGGACCAGTGCCGAAGGCCTGGGCAGGGACCACTGGAACGAGATGCTGGCCTACCCCCGGAAGCCCATCGCCCACTGGCACTCCCTGGTGGAGGTAAAGAAATCCTTCAAAGAGGTGGGTGAGGCTGCCTGCCCGGCGCGTTGGCCGCTTGGCATTGTGGGCTGAGAATGGCAGCCATGGGGCATCCGGGGCATCGGCGGGAGGGGCACAGGGCCACGTGCTCCTCCGCATAACGGGCGCTGGGGAGGCGGAGGCTGCCTGATGGGGCCCCTGACATGGGATGTTTCACAAGCAATCCTGGAGGTTGTCTTGTTTTCTGTTGTTCTGTGTTGGTACTGGGGCCTGTTGGAATTCAGGGCCTGGGCACTGCCCCTGAGCTTTTTCACTTATTGCTAGTGCTCTACCACGGCACCACTAACGGCTTTTTGCTAATTAAGTGAAGAGTCTCGTGGACTTTCCTGCCTGATCCTCAGATCTCAGCCTCCTGAGTAGCTAGGCTCATAGGTGTGAGCCACCGGCACCCGGCCAATGCTGATTTCTTAATGGGAAAATTTAAACCTTGAAAAAGCCTTCCCAGCAAGCCACTGCCGGGCCTGAAAGCCTCCTCAGAGCCCCTGAGTTAGTCCTTTAGGATGCACCCCAGAGGGGAGTGAGATCAGAACCTGGGCAGGAACTCCCACCATCAGAACACCCAGCTCCCCAGGCCCGAGCCAGGCTGAGTTTGGCATTTCCTCTGTGGATAGATGGCAGGTCGACCGCCAGAGAGCAGCTCTCTCCTTGCACGAAAGACTTCACATTCTTTCCCGAGAGGCACTGCTGTCTAGTGGAGTCCCCGGCCAGGCTAGCAGAGGCTGTGGCTCCATTTTTTCCCCCTCCTGGCTTGCTATGCATGCTCCTGGCTTGCTATGTACGCTGGAGCCCAGGGCTTCTCCTCTGTCAGGAAAACATCCCTTTAGCTGGGCACCAGTGGCTCCTGCCTATAATCTCAGCTACTCAGGAGACTGAGATCCTAGGATTGCAGTTCAGAGCTTGAGCAGGAAAGTTTGTGAGATACTCATCTTCAATTAACCAGCAAAAAGCCAGAAATGAAGCTGTGGTTCAAGTGGTAGAATACCAGCCTGCAGTGAAAAAGCTAAAGGACAGCACTCAGATCCTGAATTCAAGCCTTAGTACTGGCATGCATGCACGCACCACAAAGAAGATAGAGGAGGAGGAAGGAAGGAGGGAGGGAGGGTGGAAGGAAGGAAGGAAGGAAGGAAGGAAAATGTCTCTTTGAGTGACATCAACGCTTGTCCCACTTGCCACACCTGACCAATTTAGATCCTGTGGTGAGCTCTTGGCCTGCATTTCTTGAGTAGATTGGGTTCAGGCAGTCAGATCAGGCTGAGCCTCTGCTTCGAATCACAGCCCTGTCTATATAAAAAGCCAGATGCTGTACAGCAACCCATAGAGAATCGAATACCAAAACAAAGGCCTTTTTTGTTTTGGTGCTGGTGTTTGGGCTTGAACTCAGGGTCTGGGTGCTGTCCCTGAGCTCAAACCTGGTGCTCTACCACTTGAGCCACTGCGCCACTTCTGACTCTTTTTTTTTTCTTTTTGGGTCCGGTCGTGGGGCCTGAACTCTGGGCCTGGGTGCTGTCCCTCAGCTCTTCAGCTCAAGGCTAGCGCTCTACCACTTGAGTCACAGCGCCACTTCCGGGTTTTTTCTTTTTTGCTTATGTGGTGCTGAGGAATTGAACCCAGGGCCTCAGGCAAGCAAGGCAAGCGCTCTACCACTGAGCCAACTTCCTAGCCCCTGACTCTTTTTTTTTTTGTGGTAGTTTTAGTGCAGATAAGAGTCTCACGGACTTTCCTGCCCAGGCTGGCTTGGAACCATGATCCTCAGATCTCAGCCTCCTGAGTAGCTGGGATGACAGGCGTGAGCCACCTGCGCCTGGAAAAAAAGAGTGTTTGGTGGGCACGGGGCCCTTCCACCAAAGCTTAAAGCAGAGGCGCCTTTAAAAAGTGCAGAAAATGTCCACCCAGCCAAGGACCCCAGGGCCGTTCTCAGCCTCCCCCCGACCCCCACAAGCCCTGGATGAGGCTGCTGCACAGCCCTGTGTGCCATGAGCCCAGCTGGCGGCCCTGGGCAGGCTGCAGCCAGCCTTCAGTCCTCAGCGTCTGTTGAGGGGGCTTTGGAGGTGGGCATGGGGCTGTGAGAGTCCAGGCGGCCGCTGCCCGCCCCGGGCTTTGACTCTGGGTTGGTGAGGGGTAGGCCTGTCCCCTCACCTTTCCCAGGCCCAGCCGCAAGGGCTGGCTGCCTTCCTTCACATGTGGGGCAGATCCTGCACCCCTGATGTCTGGCTAGCCTCAGCAAAGGAAGCGTGTGGCAGGAGAAATGGAGCGCAGCGCGCTCTGGTGCCAGGCCTGGGCCCCCAGGATCCTGATAAGTGCAATCTAATTAGTCCACATAATTGATTCCAAGTCTGTGTCTTTGAGAACTCTGACTCACTCGTCTTGACAAAAGAGAAAGATAAAGTAGAATAGAGCCCTTGAAAATGAATATTTGGTGAGGCAGTCGAGTTAACGGTCCGCGGAAAACAAAAAGATTAAATTGATTCATATCCCTCGGCTTTACTTTTTTTCATCACCTGGCCCTGGAGTGAGCGATCAAGTGTGCACAGGACTGCCCCCCCCTTCACACACACATTTCTTCCTCCGATGATCATTTCTCTGCACAAAGAAGCTGAAAATGACATCCGTCTTGGCAACGGAGGATTTCAGCAGTAGGGACTGGTATGCAGTCTTCATGGACACTTTTATTAAAATGCATCTATACATCTAGGTGAGGGCTTGTGGTTCACACCTGTAGCACTAACTGCTCAGGAGGCTGAGCTGTGAGGACTACGATTTGCAGCCAGCCTGGGCAGGAAGTCTGTAAGACTCTTATCTCCCGTTAACCAGCAAATAACTGGAAGTGCAGCTGTGGCTTAAGTGGCAGAGTGCTAGCCAGGGGCAGAAAAGCCAGGTAAGGATAGCACAAGGCCCTGGGTTCAAGCCCCAGTACACTAACACACACACACACACACACACACACACACACACACACTGACACACACACACACAACCTCAGCAGGCTAACATGAACTAACACTCCTGTGTGTTCACATAGCTGTATCCTCAACTATCCTCACCGCTCACCTGCCTCCTCTTTGCTCAGTCCCAACGCTAAGAGCCTTGCTCTTGGAGGTTGGATCTCCCTCCCAGCCACACCATCCATAAAGAAATCTTCTCCAGTGCCAGGAAGATAAATGACCTCATATCTGTAAAGCACTCCATGTGTATCTTGTACCTTTCCTAGCTGAGTTTCAAGTGCTGTGATCATTTCTCTTTTTATTAATAGGAACAGAGGGCATCAAACTGGCTTGCCTGTTAGGGGTTTAAAATAAGGTTGAGGGAAACAAATTCATTGAGAAAGTATTTTCCCCTGCTGGGATCTCCTGTGAATAAAAATGCATTAAGCCACATCCAGCTCCTGCCCAGCTACATATTAGCCCATTTCTTCCCACATTCCTCCTTGGCACGGCGTGGCCATCATCCACATCTCCACACGCAGAGCCGGGTGGCCGGGCTCCTCTCCAGCTTTATTGCAAGGGGCCACGTTCAGATCGCCCGCTGTAGATTTCTGTGTGGGTCACAGCTGCGGTTTGGCCTCAGGACCTTGCGCTCTTGCTTAGCTTTTTTTTGCCTGATACTGATGTTCTTCACTTGAGCCATCACTCCACTTCTGACTTTTTGCTGGTTCATTGGAGATTAAGAATCTCATAGACTTTCCCACCCCGGCTGGCTTTGAACCACGATCCTCAGTGTTAGCCCCAGAATTTGCTAGGATAACAGGTATGAGCTGCGGCCCTGGCTTTCCATAGATTTTACATTTCAATAGAAGACCTTGGCACACAGCTGCCTGGGAACGGTAACCTTGCTGTTGGTGGGGGACAAGGTCTTTGCTTTCCCAGAGCCACCTGGATGTGCATTCTAGAATTATCCACCTCTCCATTCATGCACTAAGCTCCTCCCTTGGTTTATCATCACAGGAAAACTTGAGGCCTTAGCCGACAATCCATGTTCTTTCTCCATTCATTCCAGATAAACAGTTACGCTCTGTGCGGCTATCCTGGGAGGAGTATAGGACAGAGGTGCTCTGTGTAGCATTTTGTAGCATTTTGTGTTTCCCGCTCTGGGCTGGACAGTTGATCCAGTTGTCTCTGTGGCCTGTGATCCGGAGAGGAGCGAGCAGTGACCGGGTGCCTCTTGCTGACCATCGAAGGCGGTCACCTAGCTCCACACAGCAGGATCTGCTGGCAAGAGCATTCCTCACGGTCTCACACCACTTCAGGGTGTGCAGACTTGAGGCAGAAGGCCCAGGGGCCCAGGGGCCAGGCGCTTATTGATTGCCCGTATCTCACCAGGGAACCCCTCGGTTGTGATTTCATTCACGCGGATGCTGCAAGCAGAGGGACTGCACCGGAGTTAGGAGTAAGTACCTGGAGTCAGGCCATTGGTTGCGCTTCATCTCCTCCCTCCCCGCAGCTCGCCCCGCACCGTGGCAGGATGGAGCGGAAGGGGCCAGAAGACCCGGCTCTGTGGCCAGGCTCTCTCTGCTCCTCACTGGCCGTCTCAACCTCTGTGTCTTTGCTTTCTTACCTGTAAGAGAGCGGGCAGGCTTTCCATGCGCCAGTGCTAGGGCTTGACCTCAGGGTCTGGGCGCTGTCCCTTAGCTTTTTCACTCAAGGCTGGTGCTCTACACGCTTGAGCCACAGCGCCACTTTGGGTTTTCTGCTGGTTCATTGGAGATAAGAGTCTCATGGGCTTTCCTGTCTGGGCTGGCTTTGAAACACGATCCTCAGATCTCAGCCTCCCGAGTAGCTGGGATGACAGGTATGAGCCACCACTCGCTCCCGGCCCCCTCCAGTCTGGCCCAGTGGGGTTGGGCAGGTCTAGGTCACGTGGTGGCAGCCGAGGGTCAGCTGTGAGCCTTCAGGCTGGTGTGCTCAGGAAGTGTGAAGGCCCTTGAGGGGAGCGTGGAGGCTGAGCTTGGGGCTGCTGCTGGACGTTGTCCTGCTGGTCTGGCATCTCCTTGGCTCTGTGGCTGTTCTATGGATGACAGAAGGTTTACCCTCAGATAGCTTAGCTCTGTCTGGACATGGCTGCCAGACGCCGGCCATCCTCCTGCTTCCAAACCCAGGCTGCACTTCTCAGCCCACCCTTCCCCAGGCGAGATGAGAGGCAGGCACCTGTGGCAGGAGGACCATCTGACCACTTACCCGAGCTCTGTCTCCCTCCTTCCTCCCCCACAACAAGGACAGGAGTTGCAGTGGGAGACACTGGCTCTGCGAACCTAGGCCACCCCCAGACAGGTCAAGAACGGTCCAGGACTGAGTTCCTTGCCCTGGAGACGGGGCGGGGCAGGGCCTGGCTTTTCCACTCCAGGCTCCAGCCCATCAGTCCCGGAGCTCCTGTCCGTCATGCATCACCATGTGTACTTCCACAGTGGGCTAGAGGCCTGCAGGGGGCATGGGTTTGCGAGGAGAAAGCTGGGGAGGAAGAAGATGGGCCACCTACCTCCCCTCCCTCCCCCTGCAAGCCGGGTGCAAATACCGGAGCACATATCAAGACTGGAGAGCCAAGGCTCTCCGGGGGTTCTCCGTGGCACTAACGGCTGCCAGACAAACTGCAAATAATGCCTGCATGGGATCAGGGCAGTGAGGCCTCACTGTCCACACGCTGGTAGCGTCATCTGTTCACAGCAAGAACAGTGCTGGACGTGCACAGAAATGGTCCACCACGGCAGCTCCTTAACACACGCACACATGCACACACGTGAGTACATACACACATGCACACACGCAGTACACATGCATGCATGCACACATGCACACACATCACGTTGTGAAGAAAGCCAGACAAGGCAGTCCTGGCCTTCCTCCCAGTTCTGCACAGCAGACAGCAAGTCCACGTTGCCTGCCAGGAGCCCAGGGCGTGGCCGGGGTGGGGTTGGAGTGGAAGCGTTAGCTTTGTGGCCTTCGGTAACTGGGTTTCCTCCTCTGCAGTGGCAGGGCCGAGCCGCCAGCTTCGACAGCGAGAGTTCGAGCCCATCGCCAAAGCCGCCTCTGATGCCGTGAGGGCGGCCGGCCGCGCCGCCCACTCCCCCGTGTCCTGTCTGCACTCGCCAGTGTCAGCGTCTAAGCGGTGTCTATGCAGCTGCTCCTGGCAGCGCTGGCCCAACGTCCATCCTGCGGCTAGATCCGTCCTCGTCTTTCCTGTCTCCCAAGGTGATGTTGTTGTGGTTTTTGACTTTGTATGGGTCTAATGTCAAGACAAGAAGAAATAAACAAATGGGTGACTAACAAAAAACTAATGAGTAGAGGGGGAAATGCCAAGGATGGAGAGCCAGAAACTGGTTCTAGAAAACCAGATGAAAATAGCAAGCCGACTTTCTAGAAGAGCAGACTGCCTGCCTGAAATTTTGTCTCCACCAAGCTGTACAACCCTGGAGAAGAAAGCAGTGGGTATGGCCATGGCTGCAGTGGGTGTGGCCATGGCTGCAGTGGGTGTGGCCATGGCTGCAGTGGGTGTGGCCATGGCTGCAGTGGGTGGGGCTATGACTATTTTCAGCACCCCACAGGGATATACAGATGCTCCAAAGACCTTCACAAGGCCAACATCAGCTTCAAGCCTCTGTTGGTGTGACACAAGCCAAAATCTGAACTCCTGATGTGCTGACATGCAAGACTTCTGCAGCGTGTGGGTCTCCTCAGCTTTTTTCATCAACTAGAAACATCTTGATTCCTTCCTCACATTCTTCAGGAATGATCCTGTTTAAACTAATCTCGCTATAGGTTTTCTGATGACTTACCGCAGTTAATGATGGCTCGTGTTTGAAGGCAGGCTCTCCATTCTTGAAAATAACCTTTATCATGAAGAAAGCTAGGTACATGTTTCAGGATGATTTATGTGTTATGCATAGCTTTTTAATTCCATGAAGTATCAAACAGCTGTCTTAAATGCCTAAACAGATAAAAGGAAACAAATCTAGATGAAGTGTTCATTTCTGAAGGAGGACTTTGGAACTCTAAGCCACAGACTGGATCTCTCTGGGAAGAACATCTTCTTGGTTAAAACCAATCAGCCTGAGCTTATTTCAGCTCCACAAACTCTGGGACAATTCTCATCTTAAACTTCAGTTCCATAACATATTAAGTATTCTGTGTTGTTTTAGTACTGGTGTTTTGTTTTACCTTTAGGTCTCTACCATAGGCCAAATTCACTTTAGAAAAAAAAAAGAGTTTGAACTCTTCTGTATTGTAATAGCACATTCCTACAGAGCGAACAGTGGTGTTCGGGCCAAGGCCTCTGTCAGTCTTAGCCCTCTGCCCTGGTAGGCACATAGGGGTGGTTTCCACCTCAACTTGAGACCCCATAGTGCCACTTTCCAGAGCTGTATGTAGAACTTACTCGTAGCCACTCACCTGGCAAACCCCTTCTTTCAACAATGGAATATCAAGAGCATAAACACTATCCACACACCTTGTGTCTTACTCTTTATATGTGTTATGTGCTGTAGGACAAGCGACCTAATTAAGCAACTCTCACTTGAAGCCAAATGATCTGGTTTCTCCACTGCTAAAACCTGAGGTAGTGTCTGCTTCCTAACGTGATGAGGTTGGGTATGAGCCAGCGGGATAAGGTGGTGGTAAGAAAACTTTTCCTGGAGAAAAGTCGATAAATCTAGACTCCTCTGTGTATGAGCCTGGGGCTAGAGACTAATGTATGGAGATAACTTTCCTCCCCAAATGTCTTGTGAAGGACAGGCCTTCTGAGTCAGGCAGCCCTGGAAGAACACACTCACATCCTGACAAGACTCCCAGCAGGTGACACACTTCATTACGCTTCTCCACTGTAGACCCAGGCGGCCACCTCAGGGTTGCCTCTAGGAAGGAGACAACTGTATTTCAGAAGGATCCTGGAGGTTAGTGTGAGAGGATCCTTCCAGAAGTCATCTGTCAGCCCTCAGGCAGGGGAGGGCGCCCTTCGTTGTCGGCAGAAGGGGGTGCAGTCAGCGCAGATCTCAATGTTGCCATCCTCCTGCTGTCCACGTAGCTCTCTCCCTTGAGTAAGCATCCCAGCTTCAGAAAATCGCCACCAGAACAGATCACAGCCAGCCCCTCCACCACCCCAATACCTGCCCATCTTGATACCTTCCCACAGGAGTGGGGGGCACCTGGGAAGGTTCTAGTTCCTGAGCCCTGAGGCCCCTTCCCTCCCCGCCCCACCTCATCTGTCCCAAGGGAGACCAGCCCTGGTGCTGAAGTTCAACTGGTGCATGAATCACTGTTCATCTCATTACCCAACGAAGCGTCTGCCCTGTGCACAGGAGAGGAAACTGAAACAGAAAAAGAAGAAACAGATTCAAAGTGGGCTCACCTGTCAGCTTCCTCTGCCAGGATAAAAGTCCTTGTGCAGTGATTGTGAGCTTTGCCAAAGTTGCAACAGGGACCCTGCACATAGACATATTATTATTTGCTAATCCTGGGGCTTGAGTTCGGGGCCTAAGTGCTGTCCTTGAGCTTTTGTTTTTGCTCAAGGCTAGCACTCTACCACTTCAGCCACAGCTCCACTTCCAGCATGTTGGTGGTTCATGGTAGATATGAGTCTCATGGGCTTTCCTGCCAGGGCTTGGAAGCACAATCCTCGGATTCCACCCTCCTGAGGGGCTGTGATTGTGGAGCGAACCACCAGCACCCAGCTCGCACACACATTTTTATTTAAAGGAAAGAAAGAGAATAGGAAAGAAAGAACAGAACAGAAAAGCAAAGTTTCTTTCCCATTTTGTGGAAGTATTTCTGGGTAGAAAGATGCCCCTCCCCTCTGTTAATGAATGGAATTACTGCTTTGTGTCTTCTCATCCCTGTCAAAGCCTGGAGTTTTTATTCAATTAAATTTCTGTTTCTTGCCCAGTTCTCTTGTCATTCCACGTTCTTGAGAGTCTGCAGGCCCTGTACGCGGCATCCTGTGAAGCTTTTGATTTTGCCTTCCTCTGCTATCACAGCCACCTCCATCCCGTGAAGGTGGGTGGGGGAGGGGGCACCTGTGCAGCACAGGCTGGAATCAAAGGGTTTGGGCCTCAGGACGGGGTTGCTCCAAAGCCCCTCTGGGTACACCTGAGCACACCTCACACCTGGGCACACCTCACACCTGAGCACACCTCACAACTGAGCACACCTCATACCTGAGCACATCGCTTCCTCCCACCAGGAAGAATTCTGCAATGCTGACCACACACAACCTGCAGACTTGACATTTAAAAGAGATTCCAACTTCACAGGCTCTCCTCCCTACTCACCCCTTGTGTGGCTCCCCTGCTCCCCCCCCACACACACACCCACCTTGGCAGTACTGGGGCTTGAATTTAGAGTCTAGGCACTACCCCTGATG